GACTCTTCTGTGAAGGGTTACTGGCCTTTTTTTATTACTGAACGTTTTTATTAGTATTATTGTCAAAGTAGCCTAATAACCCTACTTTCACAAATGAGAAAACTAAGTTACAAAGGAATTACTTTAAATTTTGGCCTGAGAATTCTGAATATGAGTAACCTGACTCCAGATCTCACACTTGCTATGCAAATTTAACACACTTCTAGTAATCAATTCACATTTGAATGCTGAATGGATACAGAACAGCATGCTGTGGAACCTTGAGATTTTCTTTTAAAGGAGGCTAATATATTGTGGCTTTGTAAAAAGAACAGAGAAAAAAGACAAGAAAAAAAATTTAGTCGTTTTTCCAAATGGTTTTAACATGTCTGTCTCCTCTTTCCAGGTGGCAGATATATTCCTAGCATCCGAGCACACAGCCCACGCCATTAGTGGTCCCACAGTGCAAGGTGGCTTGCCTGTTTTTCACTGGAAACGTTTCAACAAAACTCTCCACAAGGGAATGCCAGAAGCCTACAACTTTGATTTTATTACTATGAAACCAACTTTGAAACCTGACATAAAATGAAGAAAGGAAATGAGGCAATAGAAGGCTACAAATATACCAAAGGCACTGTTTTAGCTGTTTTTCCATTCAGAATTAGTCTTAATAAAACATATTAAATTTGTTACTTTTGATTTTCCACTGTTTTGTTTTTGACAAGTATTCACTACAGGATGGAGCACACAGAAGAAACATCACATATGGTAAGAAACAATCCTAGGTTTCAGCACATGTTTACAGGGAAGAGGAAATGGCAGAAATTGCTCCCTTGCTAACCAAAATCCATACGTTCTCCTTTTTCACTGGCCGGAAGACATCTCTCAGGTTCCCTTAGGTAGTTGTGCGACATGACAGAGTTCTTGCCAAGGGAGTCTGAGTGCCACTTCCAGGCTTGGTCCCTAAGAACCTGTAATTCTCCATGGTCTTCACCAGCTCTAGGGTTGGATATACTTAGTAACAAAGCCCTAGGGGATGGTGTAGCTCCATTTTAAAAGGAACCTCTAATAGAAATGCACTTAAGATTTTTCTCAACATTAATAAATGTTAGCTGGGTCTTTGCAAGTTAGGCACACAATATAGCAGAACCTTAATGCTGTCTGCATTAAAAGCAGCATATCCAATCTGAAGCAACTCTGCAGAACTTTCCTTTCAAAGCTGGAGAACGTATGTAGTTTGAGTGGTATATTGCCAAGTAGGTTAAATAAACCATATTTCAGTATAATGGGTGGTTCTTAACAAGGTGAGAGACTTCCAAAATAAAAACCCACAAGGGCTGAGAATAATCAGAATGAATCAGAGTACTCAGAATGTTAAAAACCCAGTAGTTTATTTCAAAGTATAAATTTCAGGCTTGCTGGACAAAATCCCACTACAGTTAACACTTATACAGACACCACTCTACTGTACATTTAAGAAAGAAAAAAACCCACAAAAACCTTCGAAACCTAATAAAAATAGGGCAACCTGCTATAGCCCAGTTTATATCAGACATTAGGAAGGTTTTACATTGTCTTTATTATTTACACTCAACAGCAATAAAGAAAAACCACGAAGCAAGTGTCCCACAAAGGATTTATTTTTATATTTAAATTTGAAATGACTGATAAAATACTAAAGCCAGGATTCCCAAAAGGTGTTTGGTTGCCCAGTTACCTTATTTACAAATAAAACTTTTTAAAAAAGGGCAGCATTTAAATATAAATGATGGGTACTTAGCTGACTCTACAAATAAAAAAAATGAAAATTATTTAGCATGATAAAACTATTTGGAGAAGACAAAACGTGTTTGTACCATCCTACTCTCCCCACTGGCTGGCTCAAGGGGGAAAAGTTTTAGGAATTAGATCTAAGTCTTGCCACACTGACAAAACACCTCATGAGAATCTTGCCCCCACCCCAACTTAAAAATGGCATAGGTCGGGGAGGGAGGGCATCATTTGCCCAGTAAATAGTAAGGCAGGCAGAATCAAACATTGTTTTTAGATAGACTTATTTGCCATAATCTAATACTGGGACACGTTTTTTCTGAAAATTAGAATGAAACAATTATTGGTCAATCATTAAATAAAATGACATCACAGGACACTCAAACAGCCCAGGAAGGAAAATGAGGGAGAACACTTGGAAGGTCTTCGCAGCATTCAACTGTGTTAAGATCGCAGTGTATGAAAGTGAGAGAGGAGGATACCACAGGCATTATTCTGTTAACCTTGTACAGTACTGGAGAATTCGTGGAACAAGATAAATGCATATCATGCAACAGGAACACTCACCTTGCTCATAAAAATGATAGTTTGGAAAATATAAGTTAAAGAGCAAACAACAAAACCTAAGTTAATGCTTACCCAATGCAGTAAGAGAACTACGGTGCGGCCTGCCTACGAAGTTCTGTAGATATACTTAAGATCCCAAGCTCCTTGCTCCAGGTCAATTTTTTTCAATTAAACCTTTCGTTTATTATCCAGCAATAAGGGTGGGGAGAGTGTGGAACACCTCTGGGAGGCAAATGGTATCTTAATAACTATCCACTTTTCAAGGAAGAAAGCTCTACTCTTTGCATCTTTCATGAACTTCTACTGTTTTCAACAGTACACAGTATACTGCATGTTTTAAAAAGTAAGTCCAGAAAAGCGGATGGTTATCTCATAAAGCTGTTTACAACAGATGCTGTCTTTTTAATTTACAAGTTTACTGGCAAGAACATAATTTTCAAAAGAGGCTTGCTCAACACTTAAAATAGGCTGAAAATGACTCTGCCAATGTGCAAACTAGAGAGTAACAAACATCATTACTTTTGAGTGCCATATAAACATCCTACATTTTAAGTTCAAATATCAGAAGTTTCCAGGATTTCCAATAAGGCAATACTTACATACAAGTATTGTCAGGCTGAAAATGTAGGGCTAATCAAGCTTATTTGTAATACTTCTGTGAAAAGGCACCATGAAATAAAAAAGGTACCATGGAGTGTGAACTGGTACAAAAAGTCTGTCATCAGGAGCCACTTCGAGGTGAGCCTCCCTTTTCTCTCCCAAAAGAAAAGCCAAACAAAAAGCCAGAGCTCATCAACATTAAAATCTGCTGGAAATAAAAGCCTAGAGTTCAAGCCTTAGTTCCTTTCAGTAAATCCAATATAGCTGTTCTTTATAAATCCCATGGCAAGCTAATTTGAGACCATCTTAGACTTCTTCCTCAAATAATTACAATTTCTCTTTGTACCTTCCTTCCACCATCTGAAATGAAAGTTTTACCGTAACATAGTAAATCTATTCTTACGGCTACTATTTAAGAATTGTTTTCCTTTGACAGAAAATACACAATATAGGCTAAAATAATAATTTCTTCCTACTGGGCTTTCTTCACCTGATTATGTAATGCTATGAAATGAAAGGTTAAAGAAAAGAAAACACAAAACGAGGATTAGTGAATTATAAATACGACTGTTCACCAAGGGAACCTTTTCTAGGCTGGTAGGTTATCACGTGACCATAAAAACCAGCCAAGAAAGAACAATTTCAAACATGGGCTTTCTATTCCGTAGACAGGAATGCTCTTGAACATATATAATCAACACTGCAACCATTGCAAATGTTATAAACAAACTGCAGTTTATACTGCAGGTATAAACATATATACATGCAGATACAGACAGATGTTCATTTACATCTAGAAGATCATCAATTTCTCGTAAAATTTTCATTGGCATGACACTGGCAAATTCTTTACCATCATCATTAGTCCTAGAAGGAGTAACATCTACATAATTGGCTGGCAAATTTGACTCACAGAAACTTTAATTTTCAACATGGTCTTATTTTCTGAAAGTGAAAGGAAGGTTTTGGAGCATTCACATTTTGGCAATCTGTGGGCCTTCTTGAACATCAAACGTCACACCTAATGTGACAGTACACTGATCAATAAAGTCTCTGGAGAGTTGCTTTATAACTAGAATATTCCTACTACAAGCTATCAAAGTTGCAAACAAAGCAGCAGTAATAGAAGGGACGGCTCCCTCCTGTAATTCCAGGAAAAATGAATGAATGATTTATTTTGAGAAGGGAGGAGTATGAATTCAAATAGGGTATGTGAAGAGAACTTGAAAAACTATTACACAAACTCCATGAATTCTCAAAGTAGTCCCAACCACACTCTTGCCCCAAACTTACACGAGCTGTCCTGCCCTAAACTATCTAGAAACCTTTGCTGAGACCAGTAAAGCTGGCAAGCATTTTGAAAATTCATGAACTAAGCCGAACTTCATTAACTTTGAAGAGGAACAACCGAACTTTATTAACTTTGAAGAGGTATCTAACTGTTAAATACCATGACCCTAAAGGGTATGCTTTAAATTCTGTATCCAAAGCTGACAATAGGGTAAATCAGACAAAACTTGGCACATCAAAACAAAGTTAAAAGCTTAAAACAAGAAGAATGATAAAGGACAAAGAGGAAATGGGAACTTTCCCTTTGATAGTTTAGCTCACTATTTTAAGAATTTCACTATTTACTTCCGTTGAGAGAATACTATGCTCTGGGTGATAAAGTGAACTAGAATTGCTTTCATAATCTCTAACAATGTGCAATATATATTTTTGGAGCAAAAATTTTCTTACCAATATGGTCTTCTCTTGGTCCACTTTACAGAGTTAATTTAAATTAACCAAAATTAAAAACACTCACATTCTTACGAGAAAATAGACAGTCAAATTTTGGAGTTAAATGTAAGTGATACCACTGATGGGAATAATACACAAAAGCCTTGGCTTAAAATTTACTTGAGGGGAGTGTGCTGTATTGGTGGAGATGACGGAGAAGTGAAGGGTGAAGGCTGAAACAAGAGACATATGGCCGTGTTAATTTTTGTAGTTAATCCTTTAAGGCACAAAATGAATGTAAAAGCCAGGCCAGGAAAGGAAGGGGCCACTGCAGAACTTTTTTGCTAAATAACAACGTATAAGAAAAGAAGAATAGATCATTTTTTGTTTTCAAATTAACTTATTTTAAATTATTTAACCATTTTGCTTCTTTCTTTCTTTGGGTTTTGTTTAGATTAAGTTGAAATATTTAACTATGAACCTACAGATCCCTTAGAAGCAGAATCAAGCCAGTTACATAGCTCAGATCTTTGACCTTCTTACTTCATAATGGAAGAGAGGCAAACTTGAGAATGAAAATGGAAGATTCCACTGCAATTAATACATAAATAGGGAAAACACACACACAAATACCTACATATATTTCCCAGCCTTAAAACTAAAGCAAGGTGCACATTTACATTTCAAAACCTTGAAGCCAGGAAAAGATTCTTGCTTTATGGACTGTTTATTTTACTTCTGGTTATAAACAAATGTAGTGTATATACACATCTGTCCAAGAAATCTTGCACAATGTGGATTTTACAGTGGATATCATGCACAAGATTAAAAGAAGACCAAAAAAGTGGAACTTCTGAAAGAGGGAGAGATAAAGGCTCCAAGGTTTAACTGCTCTGGGAAGAAGAGATTACATCCGTTGACTGAGGATCACAGAAAGGTCCAAATCGTCCATAAATATCCTTGGCTCGTACTGCAAAATAGTACTTGCTGCCAGAGACAAACTGGGTGAGAGTGCATGCCATGGGCAAGGGAAGTGCCTTTACTTCTCCAATCTTTTTCCACTGCGAGGGCACAGTGGCACTGGGCTCCTCATGGTAAGCATAGAGATGGTAGCTGTCGACAGTGGCACAGCTTCGATCCACCTCCAGGACACTCCACGACAGTACAATGCCATTTTGACTCTGAACTCGTGCTAACTTCAAGTGTGGCTTCTGAGGCAGAGATGTGTTGGCAGCTTCTGGGGGCAGACGCTGTGGTTGGGGGGCTTCTGGTAAGGGTGCTGGGTGCACAGGGCGTGGGGGCTCCTAACAAAAGAAGAATCATGTTGCTCAGTAATGATCACAGAAAAAACTGTTTCTGAATGCTAGAACTAAAACATCTTAGAAAGAGACCATTTTACGTCAAACACCACACTACAGTTGTCAAGTTCTATTTGGTGATTTATAACCAATCATGCTACAGTAATGGTTACCATGGTGCTGAGGTTACTTCTAGTATACATTTCTGGATCTAAAAAACCAGAGTTTTCTTTGGGGAAAGAAAAACCCTTTCTGAAGGAACATTATCTAGACAGAAACTGAAATAATCATCTACATCTAACAAAATAACTGTACCTTTTCTGTAATGCAGATTCTCACTTTAGTACAAGGTAACATTTTTACAGTATCATGTGTGGCAGTCTCTCAGATGAAATTTGAGCTCTCTACTTTCATTTTTTAGCTGTCCCATATAAAGACAGCACCACCTTATAATTAGGTCCATTTAATGATGAATGTATATTATATTATTGGTCAGTCTGCAGGAAAAGGGTGACACTTTATATTGGACCATGAAAGATAGGATTTGGAAATGCAGTCGTTGCGTACCTTTCTGCCAAAAGGTAAAGCACGAACAAAGGCATGGAGAAAGAAAAGTGAGGGGGTTTATGGGCAAACACAAGTATTAACTTTTACTTAGACACAGAGCATGTGAAGAAGAAAAGATGAATTTAGGAAGGTAGGTTAAGCCAGATGATGAAAAAGCATGAATATGAGGTATAGTAAGTCAAACTGACTTGTCTTAACACTGGATATATTGTTATTAAATCTGGATTTTAAGATTATAGGGTTAACAATTTTTGCAAAAAAGATTCAAGTGAGAGCTAGGCAACAGGGATATGAGTATGTTTCTTTTTCATTGCTCACTGACTTTAGATTGGAAGTCATGAGACAAGTCAGATTTCCTTAACTGAAATTCATTTACCAAAAAGGATGTTTTACTATGCATCTCATTAAATGGATAATATGCATACACTGTGGAGATCTGATGACATCTTTTTAAATCTCTATGCCTTCTCAAAGCTTAGTACCAGTAATGTGCACACAGTGAGAATTCAAAAAGGATATGCTGAATAATTTCAAGGAATGCAAATCTGCTGAAATTCATATGCCTAGGGGAAAAAATTCATATACACATCTAGAAGAGGTACACTCGACAGTTAAAAAGCTAAAATAAGTATAAAGTTAGAGGGAAAAAAATCAGATTTAAATAGATAAAACACTGAAAGTAAAGAAGTAGAAATCTGAATACTGGCCATGTTGCTGTTATTTCCTCTCTAAAATTATCTTTTTCTAAAATGACTTAATCACTCAAGTATTTACCACATAGCTAGCCAGATCTAACAGATGATGGCTGAAGCCATGAACTTGACTGGAGGGAACACAGGAATTTAAGGAGTCTGACAACAGCTTAAATGGCCTTAAATATCCCTTCTAATTCTTAACATTCTAGAATTCTGAAGCTGCTCATATTTCAAAAGTAGTTAAGTCAATTGAGCTATTATTTTGCTTTGTTTTGCCATTGCAATGGAGGTTTTTACTTAAGCTTTATAAATAAAATAATAGGGTATCAGGCATTTGCTTCAAAATAATCCAGTGTATATATGGGTTGGGGGAATAAGTGAGTGGCCCTATAGATGAAATAAAGACTGGCCATATGCTGGTAAATGCTGAAGATGAGTAATAGATATGTGGGGTTCCCAACACTATTTTACTTTTATAGATATATGAAATTCCCATTTAAAAACATGTTTTCGATTAATTAAAATGAAATTAAAAGAGAGCTCCTCCTATAAGACACAGTTTATTCTAAGACCACACACATGGAATCCTGTTTTTAAAAAAAGCTCAGATGGACCATCAAATTTGCAAAATATGATATAGTAAGAGATTTTTACCATGTATTTTGTTCGAAGGAAACTGGAATGAAATAAATTATTTGTAGCTGCAAATAACAGTAATGGTGTATTTGTGACACACCCTAAGGGCCTGCCTGCACTGTGAAAACATGCTGGGATCAGACAAGTCAAGTCTGAAAGTTGCTCTGCCTCTGGCACTAGCCTGGGTAATGACACTGAGTCTTTGTGGCACCGTATCCTTTTCTATTAAAAGGAGAATAATAATCCTCATAAAGTTGTGGGGATTAAGTAAAATGGAAAGTTCTTAGCAGAGTGCCTGGTATAGTAAGTGCTCCAGGAATACTAATTTTTTTCACTGTAATAGGACAATAAAAATAATAGCTGCTAAGAGCACAGGCTCTGGAGCCGGAATGCAGCGTTGTTACAGGGTATGACTGGCTGGTTACTTAACCTCTCTGCACATGAGCTGCCATATGTATAATAAAGGATAAAAAAATGGGAGCAAGAGTCCATAGGTTTCCTGTATGACAGCAGCATGTATTAACAGTACCTAGCACATAGTAAGCACTCAATAAATGCTAGCCATTATTCCGTGCATTAAAACAGGATACTTTGCTTGGTATCTCCTCTCCTATCACAAAGCCAGCATTCCCACTTCCATCACATGCCAAAGCAAATCCTCTTATAATCTTGTCTCAGGATGTGACACTGTTTTAGAGGCTAAACCTAAGGAGAAATCTTTGGTTTTCTCTGTGACCTCTTATCAAATGAATTCCCAATACTACTGGATTATTAAAAACAAAGTGACGGCAGTATAGCAGTTAGAACTCATCTAAGGTTTTTAAGAATAAAGTTGTAACATGAAAACATACTTTTAAAAACACTCTTTTTAATACTCAAAACTAACTCTTTTTAACTTAACCATACCATGTACCATGAGTTAAAACTAGTCTCTTTCACTTCACACGCCCCAGCTGCGGCCTCCTCCACAGGGAACATCACGGCACGCAAACTCAGCACCTCTTGATGACCATCATCCCTAAGGACATTTGCTCATAATGGTATTATCTGTTTTCTTAAGTAAACTTCTGCTAGAAAAGAGAAGACTTGTCTTTTTGATATAACTGGTTTAAAGAAAAAATGCTAACGACAGTAGTGTTTGACAGTGTACAGCTGAGACCTCTGTACAGCCACGCAGCAGCACGTACGGTATGCACTTGCGGTGGGCGGTGATGCACTGTGAGCTGAGGTCCTGTGGATCCCAGGGTTAGTCCGTTGTTTACAACATATGTGGCTGTTTGAGGCACTCGAACTGTGACACCTACAAAAGGAAATTAATGGCTAAAATTAGAATTCTTTGCTAAATTTGGTAGAAGTTATTATTAAATACCTTAAGTCAGTAAAGTGGTATTTTTAACATTCAAAAGGAAAAATATTTCTGACCTAGAAGTCTACACTTAAAGTATCATCTGAGTATGAAGATGAACAAATTTTTATGTATGTTAAGTAACCACACACCTCCACACACACACACTGAGAGAGAAAATCAAGAAAAAGAAGAACACTGGACTCAAGGAACAGGAGATCCAGCATAAGAGAGAAATAAATGAAATCCCTATCAAGAAGACTGTGAGCAGAATCTTAGAAGAGTGGATCGCAGCAGGCACACGTATAGAAGGCAGGCAGGCCATGAAGGGTAGTGTGACTCTAAAGACAAACTGAAGCTGTCTTCACAAATATCTCTGCTGTGTCATTTTTATAACTGGGACAGAAACACTGACTAAATTATTCTTGCCTTGCATTAAAGAGGTTCCTCACTTTCTCTCCATGCCCGGCTCATCAGCTGAGGATACCCATTTCACCCAAAAGAAAACTGTTTTGGCATACATCAGGGCAGAAGAATCAGAAAATTCAAAGCCACCTACTGCCCTGACCACATTTCTGCCACATATTCAGTACCTGGCCCACAATATAATTCTGCCAGGCACCCTGGCTGTGGTGAGCCCAGTTTCCCAGAACCCATTCATGATGCTGCTGACTGATTTCCCCAAAGAAAGCTAAAGCCAGACTGTGAATGACAGACTCTGCTTAGTTTATCTTCTCCCAGAAGACATAACCTACCAATGGCATTACTGCAGTTTCTTTATACAGCTTGATTTGTCCTTGCTATTACATTTTGCAAAACAAGTATTTTTAGTGATACCTTTATAGGCAGTAAAACCATACAGAAAAGCAGAAAATAGAGATGGTGGTTACCTCTGATAGAAGGATGCAATTAAGGGTGGGCATACGTAAGCTTATAGGATATTGATAAAACTTATTTCTTAGCTTGATGAACAGTTCATAGGTGGTTCCTTTTATTATTTTTCCTTAAACTTATATATACCTTTTATATAACCTTCTGTCTGTATATTTTACTACTAAAAAAAAAAATGAGGAAAACTAAAAATTTCCTTAACATTTTCTAGTCTTACTTCTCAGCCACCTTCCATACCTTTAAGATTCTCTCATAGGATGTTATCCTTTACCATTATTTCCATCATCTCTGCTAAATCACAAATGATCAATTCCACTTTAATTAAGCAAGATATATCTATCAGAGTGGAGTGTAGACTTATTGCAAATAGTGTGCTGTGACAGTACAGGGCATAAATTAAAATGGAGACAACACACGAAGCACAGATCATACGCATATGCAATTTTTCTGGTTAACTCTCCCAAGGGAAGAAAAATGAATAATAGTTTTAATATGATACTACAAGTGCTTTTTGCTAATTCTAACACTAATACAAGCCACCACAACTAAATGCTGAAGAACTACATGTAAATTGGGGCCATATACCAGAAAAGAGTCTCTTACTATTTTGGGGATTGACCTGCCGAACT